ATTCCCGGTATGATGATCTATTTATGTACGCTCTTTAATTATAGAATCGAATGGTACTTACCACTTATGTTTAATTATTTTGGCGAAAAATTCACTTGACAACTACGTTGTTTAAATCTTTCACTACAACTGTGCCATACACATATAACGGCTGCGTTCAAAAAATAATTTTTTTGGACAATCAAAACTGCGTTCACTTAAATGATGCTGTAGCAGCTTGATTGCTCCTTTTTTTTATATGTGTATATCCCGGGCTCAGTACGAGGGTGAGTCGTTTTCGGAAATGCGAGCAATAGGGGGTTTACACCGAAATTATACTTACACTTGCTCAGGTTGGAATTTATGGGCGCCAACCATCCAAATTAAGAGTTTACCTAGTGTCTAGGGTTTGGATGGGTTTGGTTGTTTAAATTAAAGAAAAATTAAGAATTACTTCGCATATATTATAAGAGGTTCCAATCATACATTATATGGTTTCAACAGCTATAAACCAAAATAAGAGATTTATTTATGCAATATTCAATAAGATATTTATGTAAGATATTTATGTAAACAAATATTCAATAGATATAAACCAAGATAAGATATTCACCTTCGCACAAAATCATTAACCGTTCAATATTTATGGCCATAAAAACTGTACGTTTACATTAAACGTGTTTTTTCATATGAAAAAAAATATATATATAATATCAAATCAAGTAACGTGAGTGTAGGTCCTGAAGGGGCCTAACTCAAAACAAAAATATATGTAAAATTATTGCCATTATGCAATAAATGTTAGATATCAAGTAAAATGAGTGTAGGTCCTGAAGGGGCCTAACTCAGAACAAAATATAGGTATTTAAGGATATTAAAAGGATATAAAAAGTGAAACAAGGATAGACCCTGATGGGGCCTAACTTGGTGTAAAAAATATATATAGTCAAGTAGATTACTAAAGCATTTAAGATTTCCAATGGGTACGTTACCACACGCGTCCTCCTGGCTGGTTCTGGTTAAATACAGCGCGGCCTTTGATGGAATGGCACGTGGCCCTTGATGGAATGGCACGTGGCCCTTGAAGGAATGGCACGTGGCGTGGGTTTCAAGTGAACATTTATATCCCCATTGGAAAAACTAGTGAAATTTCAAGTAATATAATATACGTAAGCTTAAACTTGCTCTACTTACCCTCCAGACTCAGAGGTTTTGAATCACTCAAGTAATCTATCTTGCTAAGTTTAATTCGGTAAAGAACTGTATAAAAGAAAATTTATTGTAACAAATGAAAGAAGAAATTTAATTTAACTTACTCTTTATAAATCAAAAAAGAAGAAACATTTCGTCGAAAATATTATTCGAGAAATTCTTCACGATATCGACTGTACGAAGCTTGAAGAGGAAAAGAATTTATTTAAAGCATAGGATAAATTACTTCGAGTGGATTGTTTTTCAAGAAGCGTAAAAACCGCACAAAAAAATCAACCTAGTTGCCACGACGTCGATCGATAATATCGAAATTGCACTCAATATTTGCAACGTTGCCGGAGTACCTTGCGTCGAAATTTACCAAACGCCGATATTTTATGTTGGTATTACCAACTCGGTAACACAGAGGTTATGTTTACTATTTTCTTCCAGCAAAACAAGAATTAAAAGGTTTTTCAAAAAAAATACGCATATCATATCAATCAAACAATGCCAGCCGTCAAAAGGTTCTACCCAGATGTGGTTAAATGTGAATTAAATAATTTATTTTATGAAAATTAATTTATTAAATTTTAGGTAAATAATGAAAATGAAACAATGAAAAATAAAGATTTAGTTAAAGAATTTAAGTGGAAAAGTTACTATATTAAATTGGAATGCACAAGGTAAATTGTTGCGTTACAATGCTTACATTGTTGGACATAATATCGATGACTTTTTGCCAAAGTATCGCAAGCAACATAACCCAAATTTCGGAAATTGAAAATATTTTGCTTTTCTGTTTTAAATTAAATATGGCCTAAAGGTTTTATAACAAGTACCTACTTTTAAACAAAAAATGTTTTCGATTCCCGAAATTTGAGATATGTTGCTTGCGATACTTTGGCAGAAAGTCATCGATATTTTGATTTGATTTTCTTTCATTTCTTTTTTTTTAATAATGCTTGTAATTACTTGATATAAGATAAAATTAAAGGCCAATAAGTAAGAAAAACCGTTAAATTTATTTTATTTTATGATTATTCCACGTGTTGGTTTCTAAAGATTGTTACTTAGGACTCGTTCTCGAAATGACTTTTTGTACTTATTTATTTAAATAATAATGAATATGATTTATTTTTAAACCATATTATATTATGTATAGCTAACGTAAACACACTTAAGTATTTACAAAAGTTGATTTGTTAAAGAAAAAACTGAATTTAATCATTTATTTGCTGGCAAAGCTAATCTTCCACCTTGGTGATTTTGACCCAACTAAATTAAGAATAGCTGTAATTTAATGTTTATAATTACTTTATATTAATTTTTAACAATATTAACAATTATTATCTTCATCTTCTTTTTTATATAATAATATTTGTATTGTTCAACTAGTGTAACAATAGCTTACTTTTTCCATTGTTTTAGGGCGTATAATGTCTTAATTCTAAGTGAAGGATTTTTTTAATGACCAATCATACTATAATAACTTTTTAATAAAATTAATTTGGTTGTCTTTTTAAAAATAAAATAATAATTAAAATAAAGTTTTACATTTACAAACTTTATTAAGTATACAATATAAATAAATACCTTTATACAAAATAAAAACACATACAAAATAAAAACACAATACATTTATTATTAGCTTTTTAAGGTAAAAATAAATCATTAAAAGGTATGTTTTGGAAAAATCGGTTCGTAATATCTTCGTAAATTATTTTAATAGTTTCTGTAATAGGGCCCTTAAGGTCCCCTTTAAATACATTCCAATTATCATTTAGAAACTTATTTATAAAATCACCCAATTCTTTATTTCCATTAAATAAATTTGTAAAGTTAAAATGTGCTTTCCTTAGTGCAAAGTCGAATTGTCCATCTACCTGCTTTAAATAATCCACTCCATTTTTGTTTATTAAATCCCAATTGTAGTGGTATGTAAAATTTCCATCAACTTAAACATAAATAAAGAAATATAAATGTGTTGTTTATTATTTGCCATGTTTAAAAACAAGCTATGTTGAAATATTAAATTAAACAAACTTTTTTAGGATCTTTTTTTATTTATATACATTTGTTTTATTTGATTAAAAAGTCCATGCTTAATATAAATTACCTACAATAATAATTGTAGCCAAGTATCTGAAAATATTAATATTATATTAATATGTGTTTTTTGTTTCATGTCTTATAACTATAAGCAAATAAATACTGTTTTTCTTAGCATGATTTTATTTATTTATAAACAGGAACAGGGCCCACTCACAGGATTACTTTTTAAGTATTTTATTCCAGAAATTCTTTACTATCTTAAGCAATATCCATATTTTATGTTTCGATATATATCGAACCATGAAATATGGATATATTTGGAAAATGGAAGTTTTCAACCTGGAGACCTAGTTTGGTTATACAACCCTCAGCGCCGTCGTGGTTATTCACCGAAGCTGCAGACTTCTTGGGAGGGACCATACGAAGTCATGGATCGAATAAATTACATCATCTACAGGATCAGGAAACAACCAAGAGGAAAGCCGAAAGTGATCCATTTCAACCGATTGGCCCCTTACGCTGGAAACAATGATCAAATAGACGATGCTAGAGTAAGGAGAGTTAATCCGCCGGAAGACGACTTGCCTTTTAAAGACTTCATATATTTATATTCGAGCGGTAAAAAAGCTCGCTATGGTGTCACTCAAGAAGAACAAAAAGATCTGTTCACGGTTTCGGCCGATTACTCCTTGGCTCACTGTGTTGCAGAATACCTAAGGATGTCCAGGGGAATAGCGGTTGTCTTTAAAAACAAGTTTGGACGGGTCGACGAGCTACGAAGGCATAGTCCCAAAGTTGGAGGGGTGCTTGAAATTGTGGAAAATGAGCAGATAGGCAACAGAAGTATCTTTTATCTGGTAACGAAGCAGCTCTCCTATCAGAAGCCAAACTACCGTGACCTATGGAATAAATTGAGGGATACCCTTTTGTCCATCATGAACCTGGCGATACCGAAGATTGCTTGTGGACTTGACGGTTTGGACTGGAGAATAATTAGAAGTATGGTGGAAGTTATCTTCAGATTTAGTGGCATACACATTCTTGTCTGTTGCCACAACCCTAAAAGAACAACCGGAAGGAAGACCGTAGACTGCTACTTCGATAGGACGTCACAATGCATGTTTTGGATCTCTATGCAAATATCGCCATGGAGCTGAGGACCATTTTCGGGACGAAAATGTTTTAAGACGGGGGCAATGTAGCGAGTACGGCTCTGGATCTCGGAATGATGACTCATCGCCGATGAGTCATCGCCAGTGACTCAGCGCTCGAATAATCTAGAGTGTGGAAATCGCTGGATTGTTCCAGAAGACGTAGGCGCTGAATATATAAGGAACGACGCATCATGGAGAGTTAGTTGAGCTTTGGTACTCGCAAAGAAATAAATAAATATAAGTGCAAATAAATAAACTAGTAGTGATATAAATAATTAGTAGTTAAGTGTTTAGTTAGTTTTATATTGTTTTAAGTGTAGTTAAGTTATTAAATAAATAGTTTAGTTCGTTAATTAACCAGTGCGTGTTTTAATTCACACTACGAACAGTAAAAACGTTACAATATTTACAAGGCGAAGAAAGCATAACTGCTAAGGCCTTGGCAGCAAACACTGAGCTGGGCTTTAAATACGCGCTTTCTTCGCCTGTTAGATAAGGTACAATTTTTTATATATTTTTTGAAAAAAAAAACTGCTAACTGAAAATTAACGATATTATATTTAATCTATAAAACTTAATTTTATTACTTAAAGTAATTTACTTTACAACAGTTTGACCCATTCATAAATCATACGTACCTAGTGTGAGATTAAGAGGTCCTTGGCCTTCCACGGGGAGAACTGATATCTTGCCTTTCATATCATAATTACCCAGTATAACTACTTTCTCAACATGGCTTAATGTCATTCCAGTTTTCTTTTTAAAATTGGTCCTAAAAAGGAAGTTAAATTTATAATTGTTGCTTTACGTTTATATGAAATATGAATAAGGTCTTCTTTATCGACCTACCATAAGGTATGGCCATAATTATCAATGACTTTATTGTTATCAATGTATATGTTGTTAAAATATTTAATATGCGGTAAAGATTTTCTTAAAAATAAATTTAAAAAGGAAGTTTTTTTTCAAAGTATATATGTATGTAAATATTTGGAATGTAATAGATGAGAAGAGATAATGGAAAGAAAGTTACATTATGATAAAAATATAAGAAGGGTTAAGTGTAGCGAGTTTAATTATGTAATTTAAAACATTTATATATTAAGCCTATTGGAATGTATATTTATTTAATTAATATTCTACAGGCCTAGACCCATTTACAGAATATATTTAAAAAAACATATAAACATGTATAACATATATACACATAATTAAATCATACCACATTTAACTAAGAACAAAAAATAAAACCGGATTATGCAAACTAAACCAAAAAGAATAGGAAAAAAAAAGGATAGCAAAATAAATTAAAATAGTAACCTACCTATATATATAAAAAAAAACGCTTTACAGAATTAGCATTACATGAAAATAAATCTATGTGATCTTTAAACTTATTGTAATTAGACATAATTTGATAAAGTAGTGATTGAATCAAAATATTTGTTCGTGGGCTTTCGATGGAAAATGTGGTTTTAAGTCTAGTTCTCAAGCGGGGAATATGAAAATTTAACATATAACTTAACTCCTTACATTTAACATCATAGTTTATTATCCTGTGCAGAAACAAAACACGAGAGCTTAATCTCCGCTGTGCCAGACTATTAAACTTAAATTCTAAAAGGAGTAATTTATGTTCATATCCCTGAGTAGGATAAACTTGATGACACCTAAAAAACAGTGTTTTCAAAGACCGTCGTTGAACTGATTCTAAACTTTTTATATGTATATCGTATATAGGTGACCAGATTATTGAGGCATACTCCATACTCTTACATGCGTATTATATAGTGTAGTATAAGTAGAAGGATATAAAAAGTCTTTAGAATTTCGTGTAATGAACCCTAGAGTTTTATAGGCAGACAACGTTATATTAGTTATATGGGGTATAAAACTTAGCTCTGTGTCAAATGTCACACCAAGATCTGTAAAGTTGTCAATCTTTTGCAATTCTTTGTCATTAATGAAAATAGCAAATAACATGGGTCCCATTATAGAGCCCTAAAGGAACACCAGAAAGTTGATCCGACAATGCCGACTTATGACCACGTACTTCTACATACTGTTGACGATTTAGTATGTATAATGTAAACAATTTAATAAGGTTGGCACTAAACCGAATTTGTTTTAGCTTTTAAATAATAAGTTTATGGTCTAGAGTATCAAATGCCTTACTAAAGTCCGTATAGATCACATCTAATTGTTAGCGTTAAGAATTTCAGAAATTGTTTGCGTTTTTATTAACAAGTTGGTAACTGTTGATTTTCCAGCTACAAAACCATGTTTTTGAGGTATTAAGTAATTATGGACATAAGTAGAAAGATGACTATGCAATACTGTTTCAAATATCTTACTAAAATTACATATTATTGTGATTGGTCTATAATTTAAAATATCCCTCCTCTCTCCTTTCTTATAAACATGTACAACTTTTGAAGTTTTCCAGATTTCTGGATAGTGACTGGTTTCAAGAATACAGTTAAAGATTATACATAAGGGAGTTTGAAATATAGTACCACAATAGCGTATTAAAAAGCCAGGTATTAAGTCAGGACCCATAGTCATATTACTTTTTATTCGATTAATTGCCTTAAGAACGTCCACTTCTGAGATATTTTTAACCGAGATTGTGTTTAAATTCTCCTTTAAGCATACGCCGTGGTTACTTATAGGTTTAGAGTAAGATTCTGAGAAATAATCGGAAAACGAGTTAACAATGTCGGCAGGGATATTTAAATCTTTTCACCTAAAATTCATTTTGGATGGAATTAAATTATTTTCTTTTTTCGAATTTATGTAGGACCAGAAGCCTTTGGGATTATTTTTTAAATTTAATTCCATATTCCGGGTGTAGTTTTTGTACGCAATCTGATTAGCTGACTTAAAGTTTGAACTTTAAATTTATTATAATTTACGTTGGTTTTTTGATTTCTCCAGATTTTGTAATCTTTGTCCTTTTGTTTAAGTAGTTGTATTAAGTGTTTGTCGTACCATAAAGTAAAATTTTTGCTTGTGGATACCTTCAGTGGAACATTATCATCAACTATCTTGTTAATAAGTCAAGTAAAATAGATTTAACATTTCGTTTACGCTGTTGCTTTGATTTAAAAAAGACCAATCAACTTGTAATAAATCGCTATACATTTTTGAAAAGTTTGCACGTTTATAATTACGTTGTTTTTTCTGAATAACAGGTATAGATGTAGGATTTTGCAGGTTATTTTCAACAGGTACAAGGTATTCATCTGCTTCAGAAACTATACAATTAATGTTTGCAAAAACTAGATCGAGAATTCAATTATTACTATTTAATACAGAATTAAATTGTTTTAGTTTAAAAAAGTTTATAAAACTATGCAAACATGTAACTTTACTTGTTAACTGCTGAGCAGCATACTCCGGGATATTAAAATCGCCAATAACAAGCAGATTTTTATCATAAATTTCGTAGACTGATTCTATAAGTCAAACAATAATTGGTATTCTGGAACTGTGCATTGTGGCGGTATATATAAGATAATTAAATAAGTATATACATATTTGTGATAGTAATAATAATTATAAATAATAATAATATAATTTTTGTATACCATTTTTAGTGCCCAATATGAATTTAGCAAAATTAACAATTTATTATAAAAAAATATATGGGTCATTTCACAATTATTTTTTCAAACTTTGTGTTTTTCTTTACATTAAAATAAGGACTCACTAAAGATTAAGGCTTTTAATATTAAGTACTTTTCCAGTAAATATTTTTCGAATTTGACTTTTTAAATTATTTTGTCAGAAAATATTTTATATGTGGTTTTATTTAAATGTCTAGATTCTATTTTTAAATATTAACATATTTAACTTGAGCATTTTAATTAAAATAATAATATTTATTTAAGATATACAAAATTCTGTTAAAACAGAATTTTGTATATCTTTGTATAACTTGTATAACTTGTATATACAATGTATATTATACATTTTATAAAATCAGTGGTTATCGGCCAATCCTCGTAACTATAGTTACGAGGATTGGCCGATAACCACTGATTCTACTGGCAAACGTTAACGACTCATGTTAGTGAATTGGCCTGATTAACTCTTTTTTTACTGTTTAGTTGTTAACTATTCTTGCATTTTTAGATAGAAATAATGAAAGTTAAACAGTTTAATTTATTATTTTGATTTGTAATTTTCCTAAAAAAAAATTTTTTTTTTATATTTTATATCGTAGTTTATTTTATTTTTTAAATTTTATCACCAGTGGTGTTCGGCTAGAGTATTTTTGAGTATTTGTTTCTTTAGTAATTTTTGTAAGTATCTTTTCTTTTGATGCTCAATTTCAAATTGATTTTTCTTGCAAATTGCGCATTTTTATTTAAACTTAAAACGTCAAAATGTAATAGTTTTAGCTTGGCAACCAAACAAAATTTTTAACGTTAACACCAAAAATTACCGAAAAAAACACGACCATAGTTTTTTCTAATGATTTTCTAGCTACAAAAATTAAAAAACACCAATTTTTTTAAATTTACTAGAAATTAATTGCAAACTCAGTTGCTACAAAAACAAAATAAAAACGCATTTGCTATGATCTGAAATTAACAGGGCTGACACTTGTATTTTTTGACTTTTTTGTCAATACAGTTATATACATAACTTACTGAAACTTAATAGGTTTTAATTTGTCCAATCCATACAATTTTATATTTTTAATTTTTAGCATGAACGATTCACCGGTGTTTAATTCTACTATTGGGATTCTTAATGGCAATAAACTGGGTATTTTTAGTTTTCTGTCTCCTTAAAAATATAAAAAATATAAAAAACTATATAAACTATAAAAAACAGCTTACCTTTTGCCAATTTTTGTATGGCCATTTTTGCACTTTCAAGTGCGCATTTATCAAAGTCTGCATCCCTTTTACATGGTTTCAAATAATTTGCTAAAACAAAGATCTGCGGTTTAAAACTTACATAAATAATATTAATAAAGAGGGCTTATACATCTTTGAGAGTACTGTATAATAATAGACAAGTCTTGACCAGAAGTCTTAAAAAGACTTTATGTGAAAGCCTTGTACTGCACATATCACATAAATTTGCTGAAATATTGTGGCTCAAAATGTCAGAGAGGCGAATTTTTCACTTAATGAAATTATTTTTTAAGATTATCTCTTTAAAAGCCACGCAGTATCTTCATGACAAAATTCGTTTTCGCACTTATGTCCATAATGTAAAGACATAGGAAAATTTTGACAAGTCCTAAACATAAAACCGCTTTTTATAAAAAAGGATTTTCCTACAACATAGCCAAATATTACAATAAGTTATCCGATGAATTTAAAACAATGACTTTGAGCGTTTTCTCTAGGAGGTTTAAAGCTTTTCTCTTGAACAAAAGTATTGAGAATATTGGGAATATTGCTAGTGTTTTTTAGTAAAATATTAGCATTTTTAACGTTTATTCTTTTCTGGTAAAGTTTGTATCTATCAAAATAAAATAATTATTATAATATTATTATCTATCTTTTTATGTTACTTATTCTAATATTTCTTTTTTCCTCTCTCTTGGCTGTGCGAAAGAACAGGTGTTGCTTTTGTTAAAAACCAACAATCTGAGCCACAGCCTTTTTACCTATATATACCTGTAAACTTTATAATGTATTTTTTATTATTTTTGGTAAATAAATGTTTATTATTATTATTATTCTTATTAACATATTGCTATTTTTTATAATGTTATATAAAAATTGGCTTTAGGAAAAAAATCGGATAATATAACGTGTAAAACTGCCGTCACAAAAATTTAAATTAAAATAATAAATAAATAAAAATAATAAATTTTATATTATATATGTTATAGCTAATGTGCAAACTTGGATAGTTTATAAACTAGCTGGATAGTTTATAAACTAGCCAAACTGTCAGCTATTTTAATTGAAAACATATTTTCAACTAAATTAGCGGCTAGTTTACAAAATAACCAAGGATCTTGGCTAATTTACTTGAAATTATTAGGGAAACTAAAATAGCTGGATAGTTTTTATACTATCCAATTCAGTTTGGCTAATATGAAAACCAAAATTTCTAGTAACACAAAATAGGCAAGCTTTAGCTAGTTTAATAACTTTTTCCTTGCAAACATATCGGCTTTTCTACTTGTGCAGCGCTATAATATAATAATTGGAGCCTTCATTTGCATAAATTACTTTCTTACGCCAAATATGGCAAAGATGTTTCGAACGATTCTCGCCAACGGGCTTATCGGGGATTTCAACTCAAGGATAAAACGCGGACCGATTACTCAGAAGGGACGAGGCAGAAAACGAAATCATTCATTCATTTGGTAGACCAACAGTGGAGAATTCGACGAGACTTACTAATGTCGGGGACCATTTACCAACACAAAGCACCTGGAGGAGGTCTGCTTTTTGTAGTGTCAGTAAGAAACAATAAAGATCCAACATAATATGTGCAAAATGTAACGTAGCACTTTGCTTGGAATGCTTTATTCCATTCCACAAATCATAAACTGATAAACGGTGATTGAAATTAGTTTAAAATAAGAAAATGAAAAAACTATTGTTCAGTTCTTAGCTACCAAGTTTGAAGCTTGAGTACTTTTTACCCCAGAGACCAAAGAGAATGCTGTTTTAAAATTGTTTAGTTCGTAGCTAGTAAGTTAAACTTTTATGTTTTTGAGACCACAGAGAAGACTGAAGTAATATGTATTATATTTAGTTTATGGTGCGTTTATTCTTTGTTTTGTTACTTTTAAATAAATAAATATGTTCCAAAATAGCTGTTTGTTATTGCTGGGGATGCTGTAAGTCCTTCTCCTATGTTATATACGTCAATAGTATGATAAAACGCGAAGTGATAAAAATAAATTGTGTTATTTTCGCAATTGACGCTCTACACTGTTCAAAATTTTATGACCATTTTAACACCAAATTAACACCATACATGGTCTATATCGATACAAACCAAAATGGTGTTAAATATATATTTATATATTATATTATATGGTTCGTTGGTCCAGTGTAAATTCTAATACTAAAATCACAGACTAAAATAGTGTAAAATAAATTTTATCTGGTGTAAATTGAACTCCTTTTCAGTGTTAAATATTATGTGTTTTTGGTCAAATTAACATATGCTACACAGAAAAAAAGGAAAAAAAAAGAAACAGGAAGTTCCTTGACGCATTACTAGTATATTACCAGTAGTATTATTACAGAAAATTTAATCTTTAACTCGCTAGAGATAATGTTTTTAGTGCGTTCCACCAACTTAAAATACTTCAAGTATTGACAGCTGTTTCCACCTATTTAAGGTCTCTTTAGTATCGGACAACTTGTAGTGTCACACCAAAGCAAAGGACTACCTGAGCTTATATACTCTTCATGTAAGTCAACAGAGGCGAGATTTAAGAACATCACGTGATCCACACCGCTTTAGGTTGAAGTAACTCTTATTTTACAAACTTCATATTTAGTAAACTGAAACATACAGCGGGTTGGTTTCACCAAAGTTTTCTGGGTTAATTTAACCAATTTAAAAAAATTAAAATAACTTTTAGATAAACACCGTTTTGGTGTTTGCTGTATATAACATTTTCAACCATAATTCATGGTGTTTATATTAACACCACTTGGTGTTGGATTTTGACACCATTTTAAGATTACTCTTTACACCACAGATATTTTAAACAGTGTATGAACCTCTAAAAACGCATTTAAAAACCTTTATGAAAGAAAATATTGATTTTGATGGAAAATTGATAATAGATGATGACTTCAACATTGATTTATCAAAAGATGGATTTCATAGTATAAAAATAAAAGAAATAATTTACAAAAATGGCTTTTATCAAATAGTTCAAGATTTTATTAGAATAACACCAAATAGTTCCACTTTGATTGATTATATTGTAACTAATGAAAAAATGTTGAAACATGAAGTTTTTACATCACCAAGGATAAGTGATCTTAATATATTGACAGTGAATATTGAGAATGATATTAATATAAATAAACCTAATAGTAAATATTTAAATATTAAAAGAAGAAATCTATCAAATTACGATGTGGATGCGTTTCAAGAGGAACTGAGTAAAATGATGTGGAATAACAATACAATAACAATAATATGGAATTATGGAAAGAATTAAAAAAAAAACTTTTACCATGATACAATACAATTTTTAGGTGTGGAAAGTTCGAATCCGCAACTAATTGCATCAAAATTTAATAATTATTTTTTAGAAAGCATAACTGAAATAGTGCAATCAATTAAAATAAAAAATTAATATGAAGTAATATTGGACAAAATTAAAAAAAAAAATAAATGACAAAATTTCAAAATATAACGTGTAAATTAAGAAAAATTATAATGAATTTAAAAAACATAACAAATATTGAAGATTTAGTAAATACAAGAATTATTAAGGACTCATTTCAAGTTATTGGTAACCGTTTTATTGATGTGGTAAACCAGTCTTTAAAAACTGGTGTTTTTCCTGATAATTGGAAGATCTCAACTGTGGTCCCTATTTCCAAAGTTCCCAACACCATTTTAGTAGAAGAACATAGGCCAATTAATACTGTTTATATTTACAGAAATTTTTTTGAAATTGAAGTTAAAGATTAACTGGTTAAGTTTTGTGGTTTAAATTCTTTGATAATAGAAAACCAATCTGGATTTAGAAAGTTACATTCCTGTGAATCTGTTTTATTAAATATGAGGGGTAAAATTAAAAATTGCTTACAAATTAACGGTCAAGGATAACAATAACAAGGGTAGTCAAGCGCAACGCGTCGCTAAGCACTGATTATGCAAGTTTTCCTTATATTATATTATTGATAACGACTGATAAGGAAAAAAATCACAACACAATGTCCTTTAACATTGAACGTTGGTCTTAAATTATTGCATTTTTGGCTCTGTGATAATAATTTATGTTTAAATTTTAGTAAATATATGTTGAAAGGTAAAAATATGCTATTTCAAAACTTGGAAATATTTTACACGATGTTAAAATTGACAAAATTTTAATTAAAAAGTGCATAAAATCTTGGAGTAAATATAGACGATAACTTAAGTTTTAAAAGTCATTCTTTGTCAAAATTTTATGGGGCGAGTAGGGAACTATCTTAGTATGTCAACTAAAATTTTATTATATAAGTCTATTATAGCACAACACTTGGATTATTGTTCCTCTATATTATTTATTTTCTTTTGAATAAAAATTAAAAAGACCAAATACAAGTTTTACAAAACAAATCTATATTGCAGTGTAATAGATATACTCCTATTAAGATTATGTTGAAAGTCCTAAATTTAATGAATGTAAACCAAAGAATTGTGTACCAAACTCTTGATTTAATTTATAAAATAAAAAATAAAATGATGCCGCCATCGTATTTATATCAAAAATAATAGTAAATAATATTCATGAGCTGGAAATAATTTTTTAATATATACTGCAAATAGTTTCATACTGTATAAGACAATTTTTTATAGTGGACTTGTATTATTTAATAACTTACCTGTGATAATAAAAAATGAATCTAATTATTGTAAATTTAAAAGTCTTTATTTGTATATACAAACGTTTAAATATTTAATAGATTATTTCCCTCATTATAATATGAACCAATCAAAAGCCTTGAATTTTCGAATAAATTTCGTTTAAATAAGCGATTAAATCACTAGAACTATTTAACAGCGATTAAATTTTAGCCTCCATATTGGATTTTTGTTTACGATTTTATGGTGTTATTTACAAGTTTTAACAAACATTTTTTAAAAAACAATAAAAAATAAGTTATCTAGTTTACAAAATATTAATTATTACATACCTTAAATTAATGAAA